ATGCTGTGAGCATGCTCACAAAGCAGTTAGGCCGAGTATGCATTAACATGAGCTTGTAGAAAGCTTTTCTCACAAGTAAAATACAATGTTTTTTCTACGACCCTTTTATTTTTTATTATTTTAAAATACAAAACAAAATATCCTAAAAACGTGTTTGACAGCTGTTAAAATTACGATGCTGTCTATTTCTTTTGACACAGACCTGCAATAGTTATTTACGTGTCAAGCTTTCTAAATGAATCTTTACAACTTAAACACTTGCATGAAAAAGTCGCTTTTCAACAGTTGTAAAACAAATAACTATTTTTAACCTCTATTATTTTGAGCATTTGCCAAGCGCCAAACCCATAGATAACAAAGCCTGTTAAACCAATGTTTACATTTACCACATCTTAAATATGATTATAATACAATTATATATATTAAATTATAATAAAATCGTCTTAATAGAAAACGGAACTGTTTGTTAAATAGTGAGTAAATTTATGAAATACTCAGTATTACTGTCGTTGGAGTAGAAAACGAAAACTGTAAGGATGTTAATTTGGTCATAAGTAAAGCTGTTTCGAGTACAATGAAAAAGTACTCGAGTACTGAATACAAGTACTCTTATATAAAAGTACTCGAGTACCAAATACAAGTACAGTACCGTTGTACTCGTAGTACACTTTTGTTATGAAATGTTGGGAGAAATGCTAGAGAAATGGGGCGATTAAAAAATGAATTTAGAATCACAAAAAAGTGCAAAATTAAATACTAGCCGGCGTATTGCCTTCATCAAATATTGATATGTTAATTATCAACTAAAGCCGGCTAGTATCTTGTTTTCCTATGCCTTGGCTTTATTTTTGAATTATCTTTTTGAGGAATGTTGTTACCTTATTTCTACATAAAATAAAACACGTTTTTTTACAATCCTATTTTATTTGCTTTAAGAATGGCAAATTTTTGAACATTTTCGTCAGTTAAACTATGACGACGTGGATTATTAATTATGGTCGCGTACGAAAATAAGCGCTCCACTGCAGCCGATGATGGCAGACACGTATTATAACGCGTGAAAAGTTTTTTTTACATGCGGGTATACCCTATAATCGTCCAACATGGAGAGATTGGTCCTCTTGTCCTTACGTATTTAAGCAAATGCTTAGATATACCTTCTTGACATTATGGATTTCTATTAAATAAAAACAATGTTCTATTCAATATTAATATATTAACAAAAGGCAAAACCAATAAACAACGATAATCCGTATATAAAAAGCACAGAAACTTACAACACAAGAATTATAAAGAATAAAAATGGCGTTTATTTTCTGAATGTACAGTGGGTTGCTTAACTTCGTGAGTTTCATGAAATAATTTAATTAAATGCTTGAAAAATTGTATATAAAACCCGGCGGCGAAAGCTTAATGTGCTTTCTTCGCCTGGTCTATAATGTAGTATTTTTATGTTAATTTTTATTTATTAGGTCAAGTTACCCATTTACAAAAATGCTAAAAAAGTTAATATTAATAATAACACTAAAAAATCTTTATTGTGCTTCCCAAATGGCTATTGACTGTGGTCTTTCTGCCCAGTTTATACAATATCATTTTGTTATTAGAGTGTTTGTTAATTATACAAAATTTTAAAGCTAAATATTAATTAATTGAAAAAATATATTTTAGTCCTAGTTGGAAATTTCTGTGATTATCTCCCATAGGGTTTTAGTAGGGAATTTCCTTTTAGAAGGCAGGTCCTGGTCTCTACCCACACGGAACAATTACATCCAATGGATATCCAATGGATTTCTTTTATGGATATCCAGGATATACATAGGATATCCGGGATATCCAATGGATAACCATTGGATATATAAATGTCCGACCCTCCTGGACATAGTGTGGATATCCAATGGATACCCAGTGGATATAGTATTGTATGCAATATGGTTGTAATCTGTATTCAATATGGAGATTGTATGGATATCCAATGGATAACCATTGGATATATAAATGTCCGACCCTCCTGGACATAGTGTGGATATCCAATGGATACCCAGTGGATATAGTATTGTATGCAATATGGTTGTCATCTGTATTGGATATGGTGAATCAATGGATATTTACTTTTCAATAAATAACATTGGGTTTTAAAATAAAAGTCTTATTCTTTAATTTAAATATTTATTTTTATGAAAACATAAAATAGAACAGAAAACTACATATAACTAAAGAAGTGAAGTCTCTGGCTTGACATCACTCCTCCAGCTATCATTTGCCTTTTTATCAGCCTAATCATTTAGGGCCTATTTCACCTGTCTCCTTATGATCCCCAAAATTTGGCCAATCCATCAGCCCATTTGTTACCCTCGAGCCTATGTATAGCTTGCAAATAAAGGTACGGTATATAAATGCATGCATGTATTCACCTTTAATGTTTTACCTTCAATGCTAACCGAAAGTTTATAAATTGCACTTAAATATACCTATTTAATTTAAAATTGTATTAGTTTTAGACCAATACAATTTAAAATGATAACTATGATTAGAAAATTAATAAAATATTCACTTACCACTAGAGACCTCAAACAAATAACCACAAAACACAATAACTTGGCAATAAACTTTATGACAAACATATAACAAATAGCAATGATGGCGAATGAACCTTTACAATCTGTGGAATGAAGCAAATAAACATGAAAACCATAGAAAAAGTATGAAAACCCTTTGGATGTACCTAACAATCATGGCATCATATTTAACGGACGCTACCATAGAAAAAGGACGCTTCTTTATCTTCTGTGTTCGGCAGCAGTCACTGCTGAGCAGTGTTGTCAGACGTTTAAATAATTTCAGAAAGCTCATCAAAATGGCGGTTATATTATTAAATCTTTAATACTTAATTAATTAGTATACCTAGTATACCTATTTGACATAAATGTGGTGAATAATTATTTTAAATTTATTTAATTTATTTATTAAAACTTAATAAAGTACGGAAATATATTTCGTTTAGTTATTTTGCTTATAACCGGCAACACTGAAGATTCTCAAATTCAGCGCGTGCGTAGTACTATGAAATACAATAATAAACAAAAGGGACTTTTTTAAGTAATTTTTTATTGTATTGCAGACTGTCATAGTCATATTATTAATAGAAATAATATTATTAATATATAAATATTATTATCTGGGTAAAGTGAACATTTCAAAATTAAAAATTTCGTAGCTCTTGGCAAAAAATCAATTTACCGTAAAGTTGTTTTTTTTACATATGCTAGTTTAAACCATCACAAAATCCCACATGTATACATACAAGTATATATACAAGATATCCATATCAGTTATCCACCGGATATCCAGTGGATATACATTAGATGTACAGTGGATATACTTTGGACATACATTAGTTATCCATTGGATATATATTATACTTTGTTGAAATTGGGTTAATAACGATTTAAATCATATTTATTAATCATTACATAAATTTATCCTATAAGGGGCTATTTTAAAAAAGAAAAAAATATTTTTAATGTTTTTGTTTTTTTTTGAACATTCAGTATGGATATCCAGTGGATATACATTAGATGTACAGTGGATATACTTTGGACATACATTAGTTATCCATTGGATATATATTAGAGATACTTTGTTGAAATTGGGTTAATACCGATTTAAATCATATTTATTAATCATTACATAAATTTATCCTATAAGGGGCTATTTTAAAAAAGAAAAAAATATTTTTAATGTATTTGTTTTTTTTAACATCCAGTATGGATATCCATTGGATATCCAGTGGATATCCAGTGGATATACATTAGATGTACAGTGGATATACTTTGGACATACATTAGTTATCCATTGGATATATATTAGAGATACTTTGTTGAAATTGGGTTAATAACGATTTAAATCATATTTATTAATCATTACATAAATTTATCCTATAAGGGGCTATTTTAAAAAAGAAAAAAATATTTTTAATGTTTTTGTTTTTTTTTGAACATCTAGTATGGATATCCATTGGATATCCAATGGATATCGTAAAAGGCATGGATGTTATATGGTCATTGGGATAGCCATTGGATATCCATTGGATAGCGTGTTCTGTGTGGGTACTTTGCATTCAATTATTTAATTATATGTTATGGGGCTTTTTTGTTTCATAGAGGTTTCGTAGAAGTTGATTTGATGGATTGAAGTGAAGGGTGTCTCATTTTAATGATTTTTCTTAAGCTACTGCGTTCTGCCACTTTTAGCTTACTAACAGTAGTTTTTTTATTAGAAAAGTGTATTCAATCATAAGCCTGCGTATCATTTGGTAGATCTTGACCGCTTTTTCCCATTATTTTTATATGTAAGGCATCTAAAATGTTTGGCTCTTACTATCATCTTGGTTTTCATTAGATTTGCATGTGTATAAAAATTGAGTTTGTTGTCCACGTCCAAGGTATTTGCAAACCTTTGATGGCTGAATTGGTTGGTTTCAGATTTGAATGGTTGAGAGAAGTTAAACTGATTTTTTGATAAATATTATAAGTTTTGTTAGTTCATCTTATTTTCGGCGAAATGCAATTTCCGAGACAATTTCGGTTTATTACTTATTCTAATTATAGTTACATGACCATTTTTATTAGTTATACGATTATTTCCTTGGAAATCAAATTTCCAAGTAGGTTTCTTTTCAAATTATTATTAGTATTCGTAACTTTACTGTTTTGTTATATTTTACATTCGATTTTTCGTTTCGATTTATTCTGTTATATTCTTTATATTGTTCATTACTTGTTTTAATCTTTTTTAATTTTTATTGTGTTTTGTGCTTGTTAAATGTTATTTTGTTGACATTCATATTTAGCAAAACTAATATTTTATGTTATAGTATATAACATTTTTAGAAGTTAACAAACACATACCAAAACTATAGTCCCTTGAGTAAACTGATTCAGTCTGATATACCTATAAAAATAGATTAAGTAGGTATTAATAGTTGTTTTTGTTTACAGAAAATCCGTTCGGAAAGCAGCACGGACAGTTGTTCTGAAGCAATAAAACCACAAAATAAAATTCTAAACCGATACCGAGATGTGAGTCCTTTTAATCACAGCCGGGTGATTTTGCAGCGCGGCTATACCGACTATATAAACGCTAACCTGATCAAAATTGAAAAGGCTGACCGAAAGTACATCCTAACGCAGGGACCCTTGTCCAACACAGTCAGCCATTTTTGGCTGATGGTGTGGGAACAAAACAGCATAGCCATACTGATGCTGAACAAATTGATAGAAAAAAAGCAGGAAAAGTGTTTTCAGTATTGGCCCTCGAAAATCGGCTCCGACCACATAATGAACCTGACAGACGTGGGTCTCACCGTCGAGTACCTAGAACAGCAGGATCATTCGTATTATTTGACCAGGGAGCTGCGTTTGACCGACACGGAGACCGGCACGTCCAGGAATATAATCCAGTTTCACTATATCACGTGGCCCGATTTCGGCGTGCCCAGCTCGCCCACTGCCTTCCTCGAGTTCCTTAGAAGGGTGCGAAAAGCAGGCGTCTTGGAATCTTCGGTCGGCCCAGCTATCGTACACTGTTCAGCTGGAATCGGCCGATCTGGAACCTTCTGTATTGTCGATTCCTGTTTAGTCCTTGTAAGTAAAAGTCTATATGCAGTAGAAAAAGAATAATTCTTATTGTTAAAAAGAACGCATTAAATCCATTATATTTTGTTTTGAGTAAAATTGTGGTCACTTTTCTAAAAAATATAGAATTCACGGAAAAGTCAGTAAAAAAAATATTTTTCTGATAAATGTTACATTTAATTAATTCTATGTTAAGTTATAAATAAATGTTCTATAAAAAAAATATCTGTGAACAAATATTTTTAATAAATGATATGATTGATATGTACTGATAAATGAGTTACATTGTTTGACTTAACTATATAGGATTGAGGCGGAAAAGTATGCACTAAACACCATTAAAATATGCCGCATAATATACACGATAAAAATAATCAAGCTTTCAAGTAATTCATTTTTGGGACTTGTAACTGATTTTGTTGTCTTGTATTTGAAATTTTAAATTCTTTTCTTAAAAAAATGTATATGTATAAGAAGGGTCAGGTAATATAATTGTCTGCAGTCTAGTTTTTTTTTTGATAATTTATATAAATCATATGAGGAGTAGAAATTCTTTATTATTAAAAATTGCTTTTATTAGTTTGTTCCAATTAAAGATTTCATTTTAAATGTGGATCAATGATTATTTCTTAAAACTTAATTCCGCTTGTAGATTTAATAGAGGAATTTTAAGGGGTTGATAAAAATTTAAGTGTATCAAAAGTTAGTTTTCAAAATATTTAGTGTAAGTAAATTACTGTTAAACCAATCCTTAACTAAAACAAAATTGTTTTCAATTCCTCATTCCTTTATACTTATATAATCCTTTTTAGATTAATTATCAAAATATCAACTCATATGATATATATTATATATGATATGAATATGAATTTTGTTAGAAATAAATAGCCACTTAAAAGTAAAGATTTATTCCTAATGCAATTTTTATAAAATAAACTATAAAAATAAAATAGAAATAAATAAAAACGCCTACTTAAAAGATAAATTTAATTACGCCTAATACTATAAGAAAATTCCTCAGAAAATTGATTAAATTATCTCAGATTTTATAATCTATACTTATGTTTTTACAATGAAATCATTATTTGAGTTTATCAAGGTTTAGGAATTAATTTATAGCAACAAAACAATTCAAATCTGAAAACTACTGAGAACTATTAATATTTATCTTACTATGCACATTGTAATGTATTTTAAAAATATTTAATTTCAGACTAATTCCATATAAAATCATATAAACTTTATGGGTACCAAAGTCGAAAATCGGCGGTGATTTAGTTAAAATGGCATTTTAGATCTAAAAAACAGTTGATTGTGTAAAAAAAATTCGTCTTGTTTACTGATTTTTTATAATTTTTAATTGGCTTCTGTACCTGTGCTGTTTAATATAAACCATTTATAAGATAATTCTTTGCTTGAAATTTTAAAGTTCTAAGTATTCGCATAATTTAGGCATACAAACGTTTGAGGAAAGAGATAAAAATCTGAAATTTACAGGATACTTGATTGATTTGAAGGAGAGCCTCTGCAGGCAGTACGTAGGCACACATACGGCCCATTGTGCAAATCCTCTTTGGTGACGCCCTGCCTTACCTTAGGAGTCCGCAGCTTTTAAGAAAAGTTTGGACCCGCTTTGGTCGGTCATGCATTATTTTCTCTGGTTTCAGTCTGCTATTGACTAAATCGTCGCATTCGCAGACTATATGCTCGGTAGTTTCGTCTACTTCGCTGCATTACCTACAATCCGCCTCGTTGCTGAGTCCAGTTTTGTGTAGGTGTGCCCTGTCAGGACTTCTGTGATGGCTCTTAACTGATTCCTGTTAAGTTTCAGAAATCTTCTTGTCTGTTTACAGTTTGTTGGACCCTTTATATATCTCGTCATTTGTTCTGGAACTGGTTGTTAGTCCAGTTCCTGATCTTGTTTTTTACCAGACAGGAGGCAACCCCTTTAGCATGTTCTGGCCCTAAAAAGGCCGTGTTACTGCCCTCACGAGCCAGTTGGTCTGCTTCCTCGTTGCCTTTGATGCCTCGATGACCCGGTGACCTTGTTGAGCACACTGAGTAATTCGAGTGTTTTATGCAGTTCAGTGTAAGCCTCGAGTTGACCCTTTCTGAGTGAAGATCTTGGAGTGCTGCTTGACTGTCGCTACATATGTAGATATGTTTACCCAAGTAGCATCTCTGGAGATTCTCTTGGGCGCATATCAGGATCTCATAGATTTTGGTCTGGTATACCATTCAGTATCGACCCAGTGCAAGGCGCCCTAGATCGCTACCCATATATACCAGCTCCTGCACCTTCCTTCATTAGAGAACTGTCTGGGTACCAGATGAGTCCTTTCGATTTGAGTAAGCCTGGGTCAGGCTAGCTCCAGTCGTTTCTCGAAGGAAAAACTACTTTGGCATTGAGTCCCTTATTGTGAGAAGAGGGTCCCAGTTGATAGTATCAGTCCAGGCCCATGCATGCCCTGAGTTTCCCCCCTGGGAGCCCACTGTCCCCAATCGTTGAGTCTGACCGATGCACATAGGTTGATTTAAAGGATTTAGGCGGTCAAAATTATTTAAGGGTGTATTTTGACTTTAAATCAAACATTTTATTGTAAGGTATTGCCCTTTGTAAAATTGGCATGCCGAGAAAAAAAATTAATAATACAAAAAAAAATCTTAAAAGAAAACAATTTGTATGGCAAATTTTATAAACAAAAAAATATTCTACAATCTAAATTCATAAGTTTAGGTGCCAATACCTATTTTAAAATATTTAATTATTCATCTATGGATAAATCTTGATCCGTATCTGAAAAATCGGATTCGGTATTCGGTTCAGCCGGTAGTAACATATTGATTGTTTCAGGGCAAAATACGCTTGCTTTAGTTCTTTTTTTTCCTTTCATACTACTTAATAGTGGATCTGAACTTAGTAATAGTCTGTTATATATATCAATATTGCATTCCTCCCTCGAGAACTTTTTAGCGTCGTTTTCGCGATATAAGCGAAAATGCTTATTTTTGGCTTCTGCTGCCTCTTCAGACAACTGTCCTATGGGTAATAAGGCATTTTTGATAATAACTGCGCCATGAATTAATATTTGATGCATGGTCGGAGTCATTGGGTGCCATGAATATTGGTCGACATACAATTTCGCAGTTGCCATGGCATAATCATTAAATTTATAGATATTTATCTTATGACCACTTGAGATAGTTTCCAGTATAACTTTTAATCTATATATTAATTGAAAATCAACTTTTGTTATGTCCGCAGCAAATTGGGGGTTTTCAAAGAATCTTCGGCTAGTATTACCATCATTGGTATTCCCGAAATTGGCTTTTGGCATGTCGACTAACAGTCCTGTTTCCTTTCGAAACCTTTCCTGTACATGTTTTTTGGTAAGCATTTCTAAATCCTTTTCTTCATTAGTTCTCTTCTCTCTATACTTTTTTACTGGTAATTTATAAGACAGGTGTAAAACGATTTCAAACAATCGAATTCTGGCGTGTAGTACAGATAGTCCAAATTCAATAGCCTTAGAAGTTGTATTAAACTTTTGTGTCAGATTGTTAAAATCTTTAGATGTTGCTCCACATATATAACACCGACTTGTTGATTTTGTTCCGGTTGCACGCCTTGCCATCGATCATCGTCATCTTAAAGATATGTTCAAACGTAGATGTACTACCATGCAAACTTACTTCAGTAGGTGTTAATTTCTTACTAGATTCTTCAACGTAATTGATTTCTTCCTTTGTTACGTCAGTAGATTCTTTGACAAACCTAAATCGTATAGGTCTGCAATATCTAGGCGATGAGGGTGTTGGGTTTTGTCAAATTATTTTTTTGCCTTGTTGGCCGCAATATATTTGAAGTGGTACAAAAGAGCTTAGGAATATATTTGCGTCTGAGGCAGCGTCATCGTCAAATTTTTGTTTATATTGAGCTTGTTGGGATCCGTCACAACCCCATTTACAAATAATTTTTAAAGAATTCCTTTCAGTATGTTTTAGAGAAGAAAGGATTTCTTCTAGTGCCATTGATAACCGGGTAACTGTAATGTCAATTAAGCTTTGTAAATTGCATTCTACAAAGGAACTTGTGACAGTTATAGAATCCTTTGGCGGGTAACATTCTTTTGTTGCCATTAACAATATGTTATAGCACGGATAAAATGATTTATTTGTATTTCTAATGATTTCATATTGTCGCTTGGTTAAATCAGCTTCAACAACCATTGCTAGGGCTTGCAATGGTGTGAGACAAGTAATTTCTTCTTGATCAGATTTTTTTAATGCTTTTCTGTATTTCTTTGCACGAGTTGGAGAGTTTGTTATTTCTTTTAGTATTTTTGAAGCATTCCTTTTTCCTTGAGCCTGTAATGTTGTTTGAGGTGCATGAACAATTACTTCTTCACCAAGCGAAGAAAGTATTTCTTCTGTCTTTCTTCTTTTACTCCTCTCACAAGAATCTTCAAATGATTGAGAAGGCCGACCTGGTCGCGTTTATTTATTGCCTGAAATTTCAAATGTTCCGTCCAACCAAGCTGCATTGTTTTTAAGAAATACTGCTTCTTTTCTATGGGCTTTAGACCATTTTTTCTTAATTGATGTTTTAAAGTTCCAAAATCGTTGTTTTAAACTGCTTAGATTATCTGGTGTGTCAATAATACAGGCCAACAGGTTATTTTCCAGATATTCAATTTTTTCATCTAAATTAGGCAAATCTTGCTGCTGCATTAGATCATAAAGATATTTACGGCTCACTATTTTTCTACCTGAAGTACCTGGTATACCTAAAACAAAGAAAATCGCACTTAAGTCCATTTAAAACAAAATTTGTTTTTCTTTGTTTTGTGATGTCATTCATAAAAAACATAATAAGTTGGTCATCCGCAGCTATCCGCACCCAAATTTTATGTCATGAATTAGCCTAATACATAAAGTAAACAATACAATAACAAGCATTGCTCAAGAGGAGGCAATTATATAACTAAATGTCTTATAAACATAAAAATTAAGTAAACATTTCAATACAAAACAACCTTTTTTTAAAATTTTACAAATAATTATTTGTAATATTATAATATAAAATAACATTAAAGATCGTTTAAAAATATAAAGAATGATCGATTCTTACCTGAATTATTAAAATCCATCACAATCACCTCAAAAGTTTAGGAAGATACTACAAAATTTCACTTTGTTTAAATGTTTACACTGAAAACGCTGAAAACAATGACTCGCACTTCGTACGACTACCAAGTTTCAACTGACATTGCGCGCGTACTGTCAAAGATTTGGGAGTGGGGATGGTAAATTATTGTTACTATGGCATTCCTTGGGCCCTGTGATTTTTTTGATATTTATAACTGCACTTTTGAAATTTCACTTTTAACCGGCCAATTCTTCCCAAGCCCTTGACTCCACAAAGAGATGTAGAGTCGCCAGTCCCAGAATGGACTCCATTGCCAGTGTTTGAGTGGTTCTAAAAGCTCCAATTATGAGCTTGTCCAGCTTTTTCCTGTAGGTGGGCTTGCTCAGCGCATTCCACCATACTAGACTGCCGTAGGTAATCATTGGCCTTGTAACTATGTGGGGTTGTAAGCCCCAGGTGCGTCCAATGGTCCTTCTGCATGCCCCTAGGGTAGCAGTGGCCCTCTGGACGACCCTGTTGACGTGATCCTTTCAGGTCAACCTAAAGTCAATGATGAATCCCAGATATTTGACTGATTTGGATAGGTTCAGTCTTGATCGGAAGAGCGTGAGCCCTTCTAGGTTCACGTTTCTCCGGGTGGTACCACTACTATCTTATCCGGATTGACGGATAGTCTGTGATCGTTGCACCATCTTTCGACCTTTTTAAGAGCTCTTTGACTGATCTCTTAAATAGTGTTTGGTACCCTTCCAGCTACAATGACGAGGTCGTCCGCGTAGCCTTAAGTGTTCTTGTTTAGGATACAAAGTAGCCCATCCAGCACTAGGAACCACAGCAAGGGCGATAGTACTTTGGCTACGGTTGAGATGATCTCCGTAGTTCCAATCGAGCTTGTAATGATCCTGCTTTCAACCATGACACGGAATCCTTTTACAATAGTATTCTCTATGCCAAAGCCCTCTGCAGCTTTATGTATTAACTTGAAGGAGGTATTTTTGAATGCTCCTTCAATAGGTCCCTCTCTCCAGTCTTGTCACAAGGCTGTGAAGAGCGGTCTCCGTCAACATGGCTGTCCTGTAGGCGTGTTGATTAGGATGCATGGGCATTGTTTTTAGTGTCCCATCCCTAATAAATATGTCCACCAGTTTCTTCATAGTTTTTAAAATAAACGAGGATAGACTGATGGGTCTTTAATCTTTTGCCGTCTCATAGTTACAACGTCCTGGCTTGCGGATGGACACACAAACTTTTACAGGAAATTACAAGATTTGTCCTAGCCAGTAAACACCATAATACGAATTTTTGCATTTAACGTTTTGGGATTTTTTACAGGAAATTTTAAGGGATGTAATTTTTTTTGTTCTAGTCATTAGGCATCTGATAAACTAATTTGTACTTAATATTCTCAAAATCACAAACATTTTTTTTAGATCGAGAAATTTGGCCTAAACTCAGTTGATGTAAAGGAAATCCTATTAGAAATGAGGAAATATAGAATGGGCCTTATACAAACACCAGAACAGCTTAGATTTTCATATCAAGCAATTATTGAGGGTGCTAAACAATTACTAAATCCAAATGCAGCAGAGGTTTGTCTAATATTTTTAAACATTGTTTTACTTCAAATGTATTTTTGGAATCCTTTATTAATTTTGTTGTACATAAATTAATAACATTTTATGTACTTTCTAACAATATCTCTCCCATGATCCCTTCCTTTTTTGTAGAGTTCCTCCAAAAAATAATTGTCATACTAATACAAAATCTGTTCCATGTCTGAAATTTTAACAAGGTAACTTGTTTCCATGTACGGAACCCGCATAATATGCGTTTTTTTCAGGAAAATTACGTAGATGAAATTGAACAGAACAACAGTGATAGCCCCATTGAAGAGAACGATTCCAGTCAGGACGATGATGAACCACCCCCTTTACCTCCGCCCAGAAACGAAAGTCTCAAAACCAACGGTTGTCACACCTACGACAACGGACCGTGTGGGCCTCTTCCAACTATACCCAACAGTGAATCATGTGACAATATTGAGTATCAACTTAATGGAAAAGATAAGGTTAGCATATTTGTGAGAATTATTTATTTATTTTAAAATTAAAAAAAGTATAAACGTAATGCAGAAAGGGAAAAGGAGGCATCAGGGTAAGGGGGGTTTGGAATTTTATCAATTCAGAATGCTTAAGACCTGCTAGAGGGTATTTGTTTTTTTGTCAAATTTCTGGCTGTTAAATAAAAATTTGGCACCATTTTGTGTCAAGCGCTTTTCGTAGAAAAAGTTTAAATACAATTTTTAGGGCCCATTTAAAGCTTTAGCTTCTGCCAAAAATGCCACCTTCGGCCAATATTAAGCTAAAATTGAGCCGAAGCCGAACATTTAACAATTTTATGAAAAAGTTGCTTCGAGACGGCCATCGAATTTTGTTAAAAATGGGTCGGTTCTCTTAAAAACTTTTAGAAAACGAAATTAAGCAAAAAAACACGAATTGAGCCTAAAAGAATGCAGTTTAACGTCCTAAAACATAATCATTGTCAAATTAAAACAAAATGGCCATTTTTTTACTAAAAAATAAATAATCGGTTTAAATTCGTTTAATTAAATAAATTTTGATATTTTTTTAGAAAAAATTGTTAAAAAGCCGATTTGAAATCGACCTGTCAAAAAAAGTGTCAACATATTTTAGTGTTCTTTAGTGATTTATTTTAGAAAAACGTTAATTCCTTCCCAACCCTAACTGCCTAGCGTTTAATTAGATTTTTTTAAGTCTTTAAAGAAAGGCAGCTGCCCTTGGCGACGCCTATTTTATAAATATACAGGGGGTCCGGAAACTCCGTTTGTATATTTCTAGGGCATATTCTACATATAAACACATAAAAAATTCATATGAATGTAGGTCCGTAAGTGTCTTTTAAGAACGCTATGACCGTCCAAAGGCGACCTACTAGTACTAGTACTTTGCTCTTGATCACTCCAATAAACGACAAAAACGTCATTGTCAATTATTTTAATGTTAACCATAGGTTTCTTGATTCTTTTTCATATTTAATTTTATTGAGTACTTTGATGTTTTAATTTAAACACAATTCGATAACGCAATGATTTAAATAAATCGTTTTTTCTTAAAAACTATTAGCCCAATTATTTTTACAAGAACACCTTTTTCGTGTATAAATATCCTCAATATTAGGAATAAATAAACCAAAATACCCCCCTTTAAAACGCCCATAACTAAATTTGACGCTAACTTTCAATATCAAAAATTGACATTCATTAATATTAGTTTGTGTGCTGAGACGCACACTGGTAACTCAAGCGCTGGCAAATAAATAAAATAGAAACTAGTACTTGTAAATCACCTTTGGACGTCCATAGCTTCCTTATAAGACATTTCAGGACCTACATTTAACTTTTTTTCGTGTTATTATATATGGAATATTTACTTGAAATATCAGATAAAAGTTGCCTTCTTATATTTAATGGGGGATCTCCAGCTTTGATCTGGAGGGAATTAGTGGAAGAGGATTTCATTATCCCCAAACAGATTCTTAGAGCTGAAAATTGTATCCTGTCTAACTTTTAAAAGTGCTTTTGTGCATGAATTAAACGAAAACTACCCATATTCCAATCTAGAACTTATAAGTCCCCTATACATAGGGTTTTACGGTCTCCTTCCCAAGACACCCATAAGCTTTTAATTGTATTTAGAGCGTCAATCAACTGAGATCATTCTCCAGATACATTCCCAGAAACTACTACGATTTTACGAACTCTATTTGGCATTCATTTATTTTGGTAGTTGGAGAATTATGGATTTTTGATTTTGAAAAGAGTATTGCCGTAGATTTTTGCAGACTTAATGATAGATCTTATATATATTTAGGGCTTCTAATGAATAGTTAATGTAGAATTTAGAGAGAGCTGTATCATTATTACTAGTATGGATTACAATGTCATCAGCATATTTCCTCTGGTGAAGATATTCAACAAGGAAGGGCTAAAGACCGACCCTTGTGGGAGGCCCTTATTTGAAACTCTCTTTAATCTTGTGCCATAATTGGTAGTCAAAAATATAGTTTTTTAAATATAAGTTTCCATATATTTTCCAAATCCAAATTAATTTGGTTTTCCACCAACATATCAGGGGTGCGATTCTCGAGTTGAGAGAACGCTATTCTCATGAGAAGTGGGCGTGTTTCACTTAAGTTTTGACAGGCTGCATTCTTAAAATCATGCAATAGTTTGGTTTTCCTAAAGCAGAAAAGAGTTTCCGAGAGAAGAACGCACTAACTTATCTTAAATTCAATAATGCAGCCTATCAAAACTTGAGAGAAATGCCCACTTCTCCTATGAGAAGCGTTCTCTTAACTCGAGAATCGCCACCCAGGAAGAACGTTATCGTAGGCTGAGGATATATCCAGAAAAAATGCCAGGGTGTGAAATTTTGTTTTCTAGGAAACTCGACAGAATATGTCCATTCTAACCACAGATATATATCTGATATTGTCCATACTGCTAAGTGACTTTCTGAATCCAAATTGAAAAGCCGAAATAAGTCCAAGGCTCCCTGATCAAATGTTCAAAAAGTTTTTGAACACATTATGAGAGGGCGATCGGACGGTAGCTTGAGAACCGGACTTGTTAATAAAAACTTTTTTTTTTTAATGTATTTATTAAACCCTAAAAGATTACAAGCATCTACAACAGGTATAAATTAAAGAATATATATTAATACATGTCAAGTTCTCAGTAAGAACAAATAATTTTTTAAATTAAGAATAAATAAGTTTAAGGATGTAAGCATTTTAATATTTTCTGGTAGTTGGTTAAACAATATCACAGCCTGAGAGGAGATCTTCTTGTTTCCCACATTTGAAGAATTTGGTACCACATGGAAATGTTGTCTGGTCCTCGTATTGTGTTCGTGTAAATCACAGTTTAATTGCAGCTTAATTTTGGTAATTAAAATATTGTTTTTTATTTTGTACACTAATATCATGGAGTCTAGATTAATGATTTCCTGAATCTGAAGTATTCTAAGTTCTTTGTACATTTCTATTGTGTTTGCCATAGGTGGTTTATTAAATATTATTTTTAATGATTTGTTTTGACAAATTTGTAAATCCTTAATATCACATTTTCTGGCCTGTCCCCAAATGCATGGGATGTAAGTTAAGTGTGAATGAATATATGCATAGTAGATCTGGAATTTGGTTTTTTGATTCATTAGGAATACATTTCTGCGTAAAAAGTAGCACATATTGTTGATGGTTTTTTTAACTTCACGTATGTGTTGTTCAAAATTTAGTTTATTGTCTATAGTGAGTCCGAGGTAATTAGCATGTTTTACTTGACTTATTGGCGTATTGTTTATCCTTAGGCTTATTGGTGAAGAGTGTGTATTCTTAAAAACTATATAATTTCACTTATTTTCATTTAACTTAATATTATTTTGACTAGTCCAATCACAGATTTTAATAAGGTCTCTTTGAGCATCTTCGAAAATTTCCCTTTCATTACCAGTATAGAATAGTGCAGTGTCGTCAGCGAATAGTGTCATAGAGCCTTTTATATCACAGTTAGTTATATCATTTATATATATTGAGAAAAGTAAAGGGCCAAGCACCGATCCCTGTGGGACACCAGAACACACTAGACTAGTATCACTTTTCTTATCACAGATCTGGGTAAATTGTTTCCTATTTTGGAGATAGCTAGTAAATATTTTAAAAGCTTGATTCTGAATACCAATTGATAGTAGTTTCCTAAGAAGTATTTCATGATCTACAACGTCGAAGGCTTTGCATAGGTCAAGAAATATAATCATTGTTGTTTTCTTTTGATCAATACTTAAAAATATGTCTTCCATTAAGTTTGTTATAGCAGTAAGGGTGCTTTTCTTGCTACTTGAAGTTTGGCCTCGTACTTAAAGATGATGTAGTGTAAAGTATTTGTGCTGTAAGATCTGTGATGTTAATTTAATACATATTTTTTATTTAATTTGATTTTGACCAATATATGCCCGCGGTCCTAACGGAAATCCTGGGGTGTTCAAGCATTACTTCAGATGATACTTGGCCCAGCGGTCCTAACGGATGTCGTGACAATAATTTTCACCCCCAGTATAAGTTCCTACATTTTAAACAAATAAATCCACGAACCACTATAACAAATAAGAATTTCTTCTGCGACATTGTATTTTTTTAAATAAACTGTCTCATATTATATTTCCAAAGAGTTTTGGAATCTTAAATTTCCCGCCTAAAAAAACATTTCTGTAACAGATCAATACCACATAGAGGTTATGACAGAAGTTATTTAAAGAAATTATTTAGTACGTGGAAATAAATCGCGTAGGTAGGTTTTATAGTGTTATTAAACATTTTTCTGATTTTTTGTTATGTTTTATATTAGTGCGAAATGGCGATGAGGCGTTTAATAAAACACAAAACTGGTTTACTAAAAACAAATTAATTTTAAATACAACAAAAACGAATATTATACTATTTCAAACGAAACAAAATCGCATAAGCATTCCTAATAATATAAAAATTGCCGACACTAAAAGAAGTAACAAGAACACTTAAGTATTGGATATTTATCTTGATGAGTTTCTGAATTGGGGCCCCAACATTAAGCAGGTTTGCTCAAAACTAGGCGGGATTATCTATGGTATTTGCTCTGTTGCTAGGTATATGAACATTGACACAGTAAAAATTATTTACCACACGAACTTTGAATCCATAGCAACATATGGTATAATTTTTTGGGGAAGCAATTCAGAGACTCAACAAGTTTTTGTCCTCAAAAGCGGAAAATTCGAACGATCAGGAAAATGAAATTTGATGATAGCTGTAGAGGGGTTTTTAGAACATTAAATATTATAACCATATATGGATTATATAATCTTTCAAAATAATAGTCATTTTCAATTCGATACCTACCATAATTACAATACTAGACATCAAATTGTGTTTTATCCAAGACATCACCTAACTTTGACAGAAAAAAGTCCCTACTACATGTGCACCAAACTGTTTAATAAATTACCTACTTCAATCAAAGAAATAGTTGGCATTAAGCAGTTAAAACAAAATATACAAAAACATTGTAAATAAACATGGAGCCTTACAACATAAAAGAGTATTTAAAAAAGTTATTTTTTGTTTTTTTTGCTTCTTTTGTGACGTCATTTCATCTGTTCTTTGTACTTTATTGTATAGAAACACGAATTGAAATAAAGAAATTTTATTATTATTATTTTTATTGGTACATATAAAAATAAATAAATTATTTTTTTTCTAGTACAACTCACAAAGTGATCCATTGTCGGATGTGGCTAGTGGTGAAGAAGAAATGAGCAGTGAAGACGAACTTATTGAGGAAAATGACCTCAGATCAGAAAGTCCTGGTTCGGAAAAGTTAAACGATTCCAATTACAGTAACAGGTAAGTGTTTGTTTGACTGGAGGCTCACATTTAGCTTGTTTTTTTATTAAACATCAAATTACCTAATTTTCTAAAAGTTATTTATGCTAAAAAAAAATGAAGTACCTTTCGTTATAGATTTAAAACCTGTTTTTTGACATACGTATGCCATCGCTCCATGGCTAGCGCCCCTGGGCGTGGAAATACAAAACAATGTCGTGAGTTTGATCCGTAAATTAATGATGCGTGTTATACTCATGAATGTGTTGATGCGATGAGAATGTATGCTTCTTTTGTTTCATATACACTAGGTTTGCAATCCCATTATAGAGAGTCATCCCTGCACCCAAGCCCTGATAGGATTCTTACACCCTTTCTCTGCATACCAAACAGACGAGCAAAGAATTACCCCAAGCTATGATGGCATAATATGACATATTATGTCAGATGCGATTCGAATATAGTATAATATGCTGTTTTGAGTGTTTTTCTTTGACACGCAAGTCGCCAGACTTCTTAGTGCAAACAAACTCTTGCACTAAACCAGTCACTCACGGTTTTTTCGACTAGCATAGATTTTTCCAGAGACCGATCCAATGTGGCTGAGCTTACTGATATCGAGGTGTCATCAGCAAAGAGTGTATATTTTGTCAATGTTCTATTTTATGGATGGTGTGGTACTCCAATATTAATATTACTTCTTGCTGACGTCACCCCGTCAACTTTTACCCTCTGACATCTATCAGACAAGTAAGATCTTAGTAGCATGATACTATTCACTTCAAAATTGTAATACCCTAATTTGTTCAGCAGAATTTTATGGTTTTATTTATTTATTTAATTATTTCTGACCCCAAAACAGTATAGCCATACTGATAACAGGGCCTACAAAAGTTTTACAATGTAATATGTTATGTAAGTTTTGTTAGTATAAAAATATGTTTGTCTATAAATAGACAAACATATTTTTATACTAACAAAACTTACATAACATATTACATTGTAAAACTTTTACACAATCAAACGCCTTACTTAGGTCACAGAACAAGACTGTATTGTATTCCAGGTTGTGGAAGGACTCAGAGATGCCAGGTCCTGTATGCCTAATACTGTGTTTTTGTTTTTTCTGAAGCCAAACTGGCATTTTTAAATAAAATTTGTCATTTAGCCGTGGGAGCCCTGCTGTTTAAATACCTTGTTATTTAAAGGGAAAATGTGCGCCAAGGTTAATATAAAAATTAAGAACTTTTTTTTGTTTTTTTTTAATATTTTTTAGGGTATGAACTAAACATTTAGGGGGCACTTTTGGAAAAAAGTCAACTTGGTAAATAAGGGACACCCTAATGTAGATGTAGCAAATGAAGATAAATGTGTAGGTTTACATGTGAAACCTACTTCTTTTCAAAATTCCCTGGAGTACGATTTTTCGTTTTGACAGGTTTTCAGTTTTTTTTTTTAATTGAGAACCGCTTATTTGTTTCCAATTTTTAAATGCCAATAATAATAGACTTGTAATTACGCAACTTTTAATTAAATTTTAATTCAAATAAAAAAGATACTCATGCATTGAAGGATACTTGGTGCACCCTATGCAAGCTAATTACGCAATAGTTCTGTTTTAAATTTGAGTAAGATTCTCAATTAATCGTAATAATGTGCTTCGTTAATTTCAGTATTTCACCGACGGAGTTGAGGCATCGGAATCGCGTGGAACGAAAAGAGCAAACCGAGACGCAACTGCGCGACATGAAGCGCCGACAGCAGATAAACGAACAATGGACGCAATTGAAGAGGTCATTATTTATACCGTTTGTTATAGGAGGTTCACTGATTTTGGGTGGAGGCCTCATTGCTTATTTTTATTTCAAAGATTAAAAAGACAAATTATTTAGTTTATTTACTTGCTCTATATTTATCTTTACATTTGTTATTCAGAAATATCACTAACGTAGTTACGTTATTATTTTTATATTCTATGTATTATTATAAATTCACAAATGTTTTTGGTAGCACTGATAATTTTTATTAAAACAATATTCATAGGTACTTTGTGTCAAATAATCATTGATTTACATATCAAAACAAATGTTACGTAACTCTCATAAGTTATTTTAGTATTTATTTCTTTATTATGCATATAAGTACTCTTTACTCACCACTATCGTTCTGATGAATGTTGAGTTTGGTTTTATGTATACAATTTACCGTTCGTTTTAAAGTATAAACCTGTTTTTTACCCAGTGTCAACCAAAATTATTTATTCAAATTCTTATTTTAATTCAACGTCGATAATAGACATGTAATTTCAAATAATGTTTTTATTTTTAATAACTCCAAATGAAGTTCAAGTAAACTAACTGTAGCGTATTTGCTGTTTTAAGTTTGATAGATAGAAAAAGACTGATAATTTATCTCCATAAACTCTTCTTATTAGTTAAAAATATTTATTTCACTTGTCAACAGCCATTTTGCCACAGGCTGACCAACAACTTTTCTAGGGTGCGCTGATTTCAAATATACCCAAAATTTTGCTTTGTTTTCAACATATATTTTTTCAATCAAATACTTCTTTACCCAAGAATAATTGGTCATAAAGCTGATTATTTCCCTAAAAAAAGCATTTTTATCGAAATAAAATCTAAAGTTTAAAGTGGTAAGAAAATTTACAAAATTTGTTAGCTTTATTTATCTACTTTATTGCGTTAAAATTTCAACGCAATCAAAACACCGCGGGTCAAAATTTATATTCACGATCAATTTAGCTTGTACGACAATATTTCTTAAACAAATTGAGCAAAATGATGGTTATTCTTGGAATCAGAGTAGTCAAATAACCCTAGAAAAGTTGTTGGCTCCTGTGTGGCAAACAAAAAAGTTTATTTTGTAGACCAGTGTTATTTAATATGTTAAATATGCAAAATTTGTCAATTTGTTTAAACGCTGCTTTTGTTAAAAGAACATTGTTAATCATCCTAAAATATGGAAATATTTGGCCTATTGTTTAGACTATTTTATTTCAGTATGTGTTTAAAATATATTTATGTTACTGCCTAATAAGAAGGGTATTTTTGTTGGCGGTGAATAATTAATTTGATCTTTCTGTATGGTACGTAAAGCTGGTAGTTTTGTATGTGTAAAGGAAAATCATATAAGACTTAAGTATCAGGATATATTTGCATGGGTTTTTGTTTCCAAGTCCAAATTAATTATTCTGTTACAAAAATAAATAATTAAACCCTATTTAATATAGATTATATGTGAAGTAGGCGCATTTAGAGGTTATCACCATTACTTATTTTACTAAATGACAGGGTGCTTTAAAAAACAAAAAGTGCACATATGCATTTATTAGATTTTGATAGAAATTTTCTATGGACTTTGTATACCTTGTTTATACATTCCTTTTAAGTGCCTATATACTATTTACAAAAAATTGCATTGACAATATGCATTAAAAGTTGTATTGTTTATTTTGGAAAAAATGACAATCGGTTTGTATAGTTATTTTTTAAATTTGGCCGATTAATGTGATTATTTACTAATTTCTCATAAATTTTTATGAATATTCAATAAATATATTAAAACAATATAACCAATTGTTTAATATACCTTAGTTTCTTCTTCCAGGCCTAAGACTTCACTTCAAGACTGACATTTGAATTTTTTTTGGAGGAGACTGGATTATGACACATTCAGATTAGTTGAGGACAAGTTCTCGGGACTTACATTTTAGTTGACTAGTCAAAATTTTTCTGTTACAATGTATTAATCAATTATTCAGTGCAAGTGAGCATGCCAGTTAAATTTTGTGTTAAAATTATTGTGAATCCAGTGGTATTAGAATCTTTTTAAATCTTGTAATTAACCATTCAGAAACAAATATACTATAAAAGTTACTCTCAAATAGGTTATTGAATGTTTAATTATACGGAATGGTAATTGTTTTTATTCTGTAATTATTTTTATTTAATATAGTTTATGATCAAGTTCTACTTAATCTAATTTGTATATAGAAAACCTCAAGTAATTTAATTAAGTTTGGCAATAACGGCTGTTTTAAATATTAAAAATTGCCATCCAAATACTATGTATAATAATAATAATAATGTATTGACGTTACACTGATAAATCAGACTTATAAAAATAAAATTAATTTTATGACCAGTGGAGACTGATTGATTTTAAATAAAATTATATTTAATTTATAAAACATCCCCAAATAATATAACATACAAAAATTATATTTACCTTTTATGTAATTTGTTTTATTTTTTTATGTGCTGCAATTGTAGAAAGAAAAATGCAAATATTTATGTAATTAATATAAATTTTGAGTGGATTCGATATACTATGACAGATATCTATGTAGCCAAAATCCACCAGCCACCACTGATTTTATCTTATATTAAGTAGTACAACTGTTTACTACTTGATGGTAAGTGTTTTTGATATTTATTTTTAAAGTCCCTAAAATAATTTAGATGACAGATATAATAAAGCAATTTTACCATTGTATACTTATAATTCAAAAATTTCCTTATTATGTCTTGCCAAGCCTTATAATAACTATTCGCCTTGTACAATACTGTAATCTTGAAAACATAGTTAGTTCGTGTAAGTTTTGATATGAAAGATGTCATTCAAAATTTTGTCATGTTATGTTTGTTACCATTATTCATTATTGTATTGAAAATATCTCTAGTACAAAGCATAAATAGTGCAGGATTGGAAAATGCAAGCAAGTTTCATATGGGAGCTCTAAATGAAAATGCCTTTCATCAATCAAAAAATCCTAGTGTAAAGATCTTTGTGAGCAATAAAGATGATATTTATAATAAAGCTTTATTTGTCGGCGATTTTTACAAAGATCGTCAACTAAGAGAACCACCTGAACAATTTAATATCACTGATCAAAATCAAATTGAGCTGCAACATGTTTTATCCAAAACAATGACAAAGAATAATAAAATTAAAAAAGGTAAGTTTAAATTATAAATAGTATTTTATGGCTTATTATTATTGGTGAACGGATAATTGAATGATTTTCAGAATCTAATACTGTGCATTTAAATACTTTGTAGAATAGAATGACTATTCTAATACAAAAAATTTAATGCTTATGTTTATTTGGACTCGAAATTTTCAAGTATCCACATGCAATAGATTAACTTGAGCTGATTCTTAGTTTTGCTACCTATACTTAGTGTTTGGATTTAAAAAAATATGTTTTATAAAAAGACTCGTAAAACATATGTTAAAAAACTCAGGTGTTCGATGAGACGCCTATGACCGGCTTAGTAATGTTTTTTGTTATGTTATGAATAGCTGACGCATCATTTTTTCATGCGATGTGTAGAGATGCGACTTGAAAAAAAACGTTCGGTTTTTTTTGTTTTGTTTTTCATTGTTTTTTTTTTTCATATTTTAGGTTTTTTCAAGATTAGTCCCATTTACCTAATTTTTTATTTTTCCAGTCCAGTTCGTGGACTAAAATTAGCCACTATTTAGTAAATGTAAATACAGTCTTGCGCTTTGCATGCGCCATCACCACCGAATTGACCACCCTGCTTAAAATACCCCATAGAGACCCTGTTCAAACCGATAGATATTTGTATCGGAATGTATGGTGTTTCTATAGGGTGTATTGGTTTTTATAGGACCCATAGTTGGGATTTATGGTTGTTCTATAGGGATATCCACCCTTAATTTATTTGTTATTTATTGGTTTCAATGGGAAAAATACACATACATGTAGAAATTAGTTTTCCCCCATAGGACCCCATAGGTTTTAATAAAATTTTGTCAAATGTTTTATGGTTGTTCTATAGGGATATCCCTATATATCCCTCATTGAGTTATTTGCTATCGGTCTCAATACCCTTGCGGCCTTGAGTTCACGGTTTATTCACCGTGAATAAACCGTCTGTTTGTGACATTTGTAAACGGTAGTTGGACGGTGAATTCACGCACTTTTCACAGTATTTTAATTATGAATCCACCGTATTTTGGCGGTATATTTACGGTGAATTCACGGTGAATAAACCGTAAACTCAAGGCCGCAAGGGTAGGTATATCCTATAGGTTTAACACAATCGACTATAGCTAGCCATTCGTTACTGAGCAGATGAGGATGGAGATGGGGACTTCAAACAATTAATGTTCAGCTATGCCATTACAGACGCACACTTCCAACTAAATATTGCAACCCAACGCTATTTATAGTTAGCTCGCTTGCGTAAGCAGCCGTGAGATGTATTGCTTAAACCGCTTAACACAGAAATCGACTAATAAAAAAAACCGCTAATAAATGGCGTCAAACTTGTTGTTTTTTTCTTTATGATGGCGTCTCAACCTCGTTGATTTTGCGCAGCTACACGAGAGCCCTCTTGCGATATTTGTATTGTATTGGGAATATATTCCCAATACAATACAAATATCGCAAGAGGGCTCTCGTGTAAGTGTAAGATTCGAACAATCTGCTAATTGGTTATAACCAATTAGCAGATTGTTCGAATCTTACACTTACAATTTACGGTACTTTCACAGTGAATTTGCGGTGATTTTGCAAACTTGAGTTCACCGTGAATTTACCGTGGTCCGTAGTGGTTCCATTTAAAAAAGGAGGCCTTGAGTTCACGGTTTATTCATTCCGTGAATAAACCGTCTGACTACCGTTTACAAATGTCACAAACAGACGGTTTATTCACGGTGAATTCACGTTGAACTCACGGTGAATTCACAGTAAATTCACGGTGAATAAACCGTGAACTCAAGGCCGCAAGGGTTATTAAAACAAGGTTTTTTTCATGTTTTTTTTCACTTTTTTTTTTCACATCTGAAGAAAAACCGTTTTTTTACATCTCTAGCGATGTGTA